ACACACACACACACACACACACACACACACACACACACACACACACACACAACCGACGACCAACAAAAAAATAAAATAAGAAACATTCATTTGAAAAGTCTTTATAATTGAGTTACTATTTTTATGTGTGATGTCTTGGAGCTTGAACTTAAGGCCTAAGTGCTGAGTTTCTATGCTTAGGGCTAGCCCTCTACCACTTAAGCCACAGCTCCACTTCCAGATTTTTGGTGGTTAATTGGAGATAAAAGCTGCATGGAGCTAAGTGCTGGTCACTCACACCTGTAATCCTAGCTAATTAGGAGGCTGAGATCTGAGGATTGAAGTTTGAAGCCAGCCCAAAGAGCAAAATCAATTAACCACCAGAAAACCAGAAGTGGCACTGGGCTTAGCTAAGGGACAGTGCCCAGGCCCTGAATTCAAGCCCCCTGACCACCACCACCAACAAACAACAAAAAGACTTTCCTGCCTAGACTAGCTGTGAACCACAATCCATAGATCTGTCTACTAAGTAGCTAGGATTACAAACATGAGCCACAAGCAAATAACTGAGTTATTTTTCCTTACTAGTTCAAATTTTGAAACTAGTCAAACAAGCAAATTGGCAATTAAAGATATGATAAGCCAGGTGCTGGTAGCTCAGGCCTGCAATCCTAGCTACTCAGGAGGCTGAGATTTGAGGATCACGGTTCAAAGCCAGAGCAGATAGGAAAGTCCATGAGACTCTTATCTCCAATTAACCACCAGAAAACCAGAAGTGGCGCTGCAGCTCAAGTGGTAGAGTGCTGGCCTTGAGCTGCAGAGTTCAGGGACAGCACCCAGGCCCAGAGTTCAAGACCCATGACCATGACCACCACCACCAACAACAACAACAAAAGAGGGTATGATAAATGATAAAATGAGGGTGATTTCCTCTAGCTCCCAATGGCAAAAATAATTAACTAAGATCATTTTTTTTTGACTACCTTCAATAAAAAAAAATGAAAAAGCAGGGTTGGGAAGGTAGCTCAGTGGTAGAGCACTTACCTTGCATGCATGAGGCCCTGGGTTCGATTCCTCAGCACCACATAAGAAAAAAGAAAAAAAATGCTGGAAGTGGCATTGTGGCTCAAGTGGTAGAGCGCTAGCCTTGAGCTGAAGAGCTGAGGGACAGTGCCCAGGCCCAGAGTTCAGG